AGACTTTATTACCACTGACTAGAGCAGGTGTTCGTCTACTATTGTAACTTTATTTTTCTCTTTTTTTTGCTTTTTGGGTCACACCCGGCAATGCACAGGGGTTCCTCCCGGCTCTGCACTCAGGAATTATTCCTGGCAGTGCACGGGGGAATCATATGGGATGGTGGGAATCGAACCTGGGTCGGCCGCGTGCAAGGCAAACGCCCTACCCGCTGTACTATTGCTCCAGCCCCTATTGTCAGTCTAAAACCACTACTCAACGAGACACTGGAGGGACCAAAAGGAGAAGAGAGTTCTTGTCCCAGGTAATGATCAGGAACGTTCTGGATTCTTCTGGGATTCCTTGAATGAGTGCATGGTCTGGGACAAGGCCAGTGTGAGGACAGACAGTCAGATAAGGTGTCGTGGTCATAATGAAAGCTTTCCTCTGCCTTCCGTCCTCACCATCACCGTCAGCTTCACAGCCATCACCCTCCCGGCCACCACCATCATTCTGGTTTCTGCTCTTGGGAGGGCCAAGGCATTGGGAAAAGGATTGGTCATTCCTGATAAACAAGCACCTAACTAGTAATCTCCTTCCTAGTAATCTACCCGAGCAAAATAAAAATCTACGTTCAGATAAATATATGTCTTTGGGGCTGAAGCAATAGGACAGTGGGTATGGCGTTTGCCTTGCACACGGCCAACCCAGGTTTGAGTCCCAGCATCCCATATGGTCCCCTGAGCACCTCCAGGAGTAATTCCTGAGTGTATGCGCCAGCAGTAACCTCTGTGCAACACCAGGTGGGACCCAAAAAGCAAAAAAAAAAAAAAAAAAAGTCTTTAAGTATTGATAATGACTTTATTACGAATTTCCCCACAATGGGTTTTTTTTTTTTGCTTTTTGAGTCACACCCGGCTATGCACAGGGGTTACTCCTGGCTCTGCACTCAGGAGTTACTCCTGGTGGTGCTCAGGGGACCATATGGGATGCTGGGAATCAAACCCGAGTTGGCCGTGTGCAAGGCAAACGCCCTCCCCGCTGTGCTATTGTTCCAGCCCCCTCCCCACAATGTTAATAACCCAAACACTCCTTCACTGGGGAATGAATAAACACAGCGCCTACATGCAATGGAATACTACTCAGCAATTAAAAAGAAGAAAATCCTGAGACATTCAGGACTGCGGATCAATCTCAAAATGCGTTATGGTAAGGAAAAAATAAATCATCTCCAGAAGGTTGCATCAGAGGCTATGGGTTTTAGTTCTAGAACGTTATAAGGACAGAACAGAATAGCCCCTTGAGGTGCTGCTAGTGGAGTTAGGGTAAGGCGGGGCAGATTAGTAGATGGAGGTGAGGAAGGATCAGTGGGGGATGTTTTGTGGGCGATAGGGTTATTTCGGGGGTGGCTACACACACGTGTCCGAGAGTTGCAGAGCTGCACACTAAGAACGCTAAATGTTACCGTGTGTAAACTGTACCTTAATTATAGACCCGCACGATTACAGGCATGGTTGGCACAGCATCAGAGAGGTGACATGACAAACTGGTTAGGGACACGGCTCTGCAGTCAGTCAGCCTGGCTCAGAGCTCCTGGCTGAGGTTGCGGGGAGGCAGGCCTTCCTTTGAGGTGCTGGCCTGACTTCCTCTCTCCCTCTCTCCCTCCCTCTCAGTCCCGTTCTCTCTTGCTCCCTCTCTTAATCTCTCTCTCCCTCTCTCTTAATCATTTTATTTTTCTCTTTCTCTCTCTCTCCTTCCTTCCTTCTTTCTTTTCTGTGAAAAAGGTCGTTTTTATTGAACAAAACTTGCTGAGAAAGATTTGAGAGAAGAAGGGGATGGAAAAAACAGAGAGAGACAAGTGAGATACATGCTCAAGGGAGAACATGAGCTTGAAGAGGGAGCACCTTCCTCCCTCCCTCCTTCCCTCCCTCCCTCCCTCCCTTTCTTCCTTCCTCCCCCTCCTTCTCTCTCTCTTGCTCTCTCCGTCTCTTCCCCTCTTCCTTCCTTTCTTCCTCCCTCCCTCCCTCCCTCCCTCCCTTCCCCTTTCCTCCCTCCCTTCCCCCTTCCTCCCTTCCTTCCTTCCTTCCTTCCTTCCTTCCTTCCTTCCTTCCTTCTCTCCCTCCCTCCCTTCCTCCCTCCCTCCTTCCCTCCCTCCCTCCCTCCCTTCTCTCCTTCCTTCCTTCCTTCCTTCCTTCCTTCCTTCCTTCCTTCCTCCCTTTCTTCCTTCCTTTCTTCCTTCCTCCCCCTCCTTCTCTCTCTCTTGCTCTCTCCCATCTTCCTTCCTTCCTTCCTTCTTTCCTTCCTTCCTTCCTTCCTTCCTTCCTTCCTTCCTTCCTTCCTTCTTTTTTCTTTCTTCCTGGTAGTACTCAGGAGACCAGGGTTGGATGCAAGCAAGGAGAGTACCTTCCCCGTTGTACTTTCTCAGAGCCCAAATCTATCTTTCTTTCTTTCTTTCTTTCTTTCTTTCTTTCTTTCTTTCTCTTTTTTGTGTCTCACTGGGTGATGCACAGGGGTTACTCCTGTCTCATGCACTCAGGAATCACTTGTGGTGGTGCTCGGGGGACTGTATGGGATGCTGGGAATTGAACCCGGGTTGTCCGCATGCAAGGCAAACACCCTACCCACTGTGCTATCGCTCCAGCCCTCCAACCCTTGCTTTTTTAATACTCTATAGCGCCAAGCCCAGGATTGTAAGATGGTTTGCAAGCGGACCCTCACAGGGAGGGCTGGGTTGCTGAACACGGGGAAAATGAACGTTGAAATCAAGTGAGGCACAAGATTTGGGGTTTCCTGGTGCATATAAAGTTATGATTACACTCTATGGTAGTCTTTTAAGTGTGCAACAGTATGTCTGAAAATGTCCTGGCCTTAATTTTAAAACACTTTATTGTTTAAAAAATTGCTAATCATCATTTTAGCCTTCAGTGAGTCGTAATCTTTTTGATGGAGGGACTTGTAAAAAAAAAAAAAGAAAATCAACATCTGTAAAAACCAGCAAAATGAAGTGTAACAAGGTATGCCTGTAAGTGCTTAATGAGGTGGTTGGCACATAACAAGTATTAGTATCACTACTTTTCCCCCTAAAAATAACACTTCATAAACAATAAAACTAAGCTCTTTTCTCTGAGAGGGCATTAAGGAAGGTCTCACAGAGGTAGTAACATTTAGGCTTTTAAACAGGAGCGGGGGCTTGGGAAATGGCTCCAAGGGCCAGAGCTTGCACCCGGAATCTTGGGTTTAGTCCCGAGCACTGAGAGATCCTCGAAGCAGCCCTGGGAATGATCCAGGGTACCCAGCTGGGAGTAGCCCATGATCACTGCCACAAGGGACTCTGAAACTGAAAATAAAGCAAACGTGAGCGAGAGTTGTACAGACTGGTGAGGAAGGAAGTAACTACCGGGAATGGCATTGCAATCAGAGGGAACAGCATGTGCGAGGCAAGCACGTTAGCCCCTGGACTATCTCTCTGGCCCCAGCATGTCAGGGTGAGGGGGCCCACACCTGGTGGTGCTCAGGGGCTACTCCTGACTAGGTGCTCGGGGGACCATGTGGTGCTGAGGATTGAACCTGGGTCTCCTACAGTGCATGCAGGAGTGTGTACTGCAAGCAAGCCAGGATTGTATACTGCCAGGATTGTATACTGCGGGGACACACGAACACACGGCATCAGGTTTAGGGGGAAGGGGGAGGGGAGGGAAGCCAGAGTGTGAGAAGGCACTGAGCCCGGCAGAGGTGGGCTGTCAAGGAGTACTCTGAGGTCCTGCCTCTCTCAGAAGCTTCTAGAAGATGTGGACAGCGCGGAGAGAGAGGGGACAGTCCCACTCTAGCTCTATCTAGTGCCGCTTTTGTAGGGTTAGAAGTTCTTAAGGCAGCGACAGGGTGTGTGTGGGGCGGGGGGTGGGGGGAAATCAGGATAGAACCACATTCCCAAAGCTGATGAAAACTGTGCCAAAAACTCTTTTTTGCTCAGTTTGGCTTTGAAACGGGAGAGAGGTAACAAGGTAGCTGAAGGATCTGGGTTTGTTTACTTGCTTTTTTGGAACTTTGGGGCTACACCTGGTGGTGTCAAGGGCGACTTGGGGCTGCTTGCTCCGTGGGACCAGGAAGTGCTTGGGGACCAGCGGTGTCAGTGCCTAGGGAGGTACCCCGGATTCCTGCAAGCCAAGGATGCGCCCCAGCCCTGGGACAGGGGTGAAATGTTTTGAATATTACATGTCGAACTCTTGTTGTAAAGGGCCCTGCAAAAAAAGGGGCTCAAGCTAGGACCAAAAAACGACCAAGATTCAGCAAACTCCGGCCCCACCAACCACAAGAATAACTAACCAAACACATTAAACAAAGAGAAACGCGAATTTCAACAAAAAGCAACCAGTCCTTCCAGTGCAAGGATCCCGTCCCCAATCCTCCCGGGTACCCCCGTCCCCACCAGCGGAGGGTTGTAAGGCGAAAGGACCGCATGTGCCCGGGTGCCCCGGCTGCCACACTGCACGAGGCAAAGCTGGGAGTCCCGGCCCTGCTCGGGGGCTGAGCCCGGCCAGGCTCCCCGCTTTCCCCGGGGCCGTGCAAGGGCAGGCGGACGCGGGCCGAAAAGCCGTGCAAAAGTTCTACTTTGGGGGGGAAAAAAGAAAAACTAAAAACACAATAATGCAATAGTCCGTCCGGGATGCGGAGTGTCGGGGCGGCGAACGGGGCAGCCACGCCGGCCGGCCGGCGAGTCACAGGGCACCTGGGCCGCGGCCACCGGCAACGCCACCGGACCCAAGGGCAGGGACAGCCCCCGTCCCTCCCCCCTCGCTCCCCCCGCCACGGCGGGCCCCGCGCCTGCGCACTGCCGCGGCCCCGCCCCCTCGGGACGCGCATCCGGGGCTCGGCGGGGGGGCGTGGCCGGCGGCCCGGAACGACGTCGTGGGAGCCTGCAGGAGCCGGGAGCGCGGCCAGGCGGGGCGGGGCGGGGCGGGGCGGGGCGCGGAGGGGGCGTGGCCAGCGGGCGCTGTCACGTGACGCGCGTGGCGACGTGTCGGCCATCTTGTGTTGTTGAGGCTGAGGGCTGACTGGGGTTTCTGAGAGACTCCGAGTCCCGGGGCTGCAGGTAAGTCGCGGCTCGCTCCCGGCCCGCGGCCCGCCCGCCCGCCCGCCCGCCGCCGCCGCCGCCGCCCCCCGGGGCCCCGGCCCTTGGCCCTTCGCCCGCCGCCCGCGCCCCCCGCCCCGGCCGGCCCCGGCCCCGCCGCATGGACACCCACAGGCCGCCCGGGTGGCGGCGGCGGCGGCGACGCGGCGGGGCGGGCGGCGGGCGTCAGCGCGGGGACAGGTCGGCGCGGGGTCGGCGGGGCGCGTCTCCCGCCCCGGCCGCCCGCCCGCGACCCCCCGCCCCCGCCCCCGCCCCCCGCGGCTCCCAGCTGCCGCCGGCCGACAGCTGCTGGGGCCCGCGGCCCCCCGGGAGGGGCGCCCCCGGCTGGCGGGGACTCGCGCCCCGGTGCTCGCCGGGTGCCCTCCCCGCCCCCGGCCGGGAACTTCCTGCCCGGGTCCCCCCCTGCCCCGTTGGCCCCCCTCTGCCCCCGTTGGCCGCCCCGCGCGGGAGCCCCTCGCCCCCTCCGAGTCGGCCCGTTTGGCTTCGAACCCGGCGGGCGCGCTCCGCTGGGGCCGCGGCCCGCGCCCGGCTGTCACGGGGCGGGGGGTGGGGGGCAGACTTGAACCCGGAACCGCGGGGGCTTGGCGGGGCGGGGTGCGCCCGGGTCGGGGTCGCCGACTCTGGAAGGAGCCCCGCGCCGGACCGACTCCGGGTCCGAGCCGGGGCTCGCGCGCGCGCCCGCCCCCCAGCCCCAACCCCCCCGCCTGGGGCAGGCGCGGGGCGCCCCCGGCCGGCCCCGGCTTCATTCATCACTCGGCGCGCGGGGCCCACTGACAGGCGCGCGCCGGTGGGTGCGGGGCGCGCGGGGTGGGGGGACCCCCCGCCGCCGCCGTCCGTCCGTCCGTCCCCCTGCGGGCACTCTCCGGTCCTGGCCGGCGCGGAGTGTGCGGGCGTGGAGGGAGGGGGGCGGCGGGCAGCGCCCCCCGGGGGGCAGCCGTGGTCCTGGCCGGCCCCACCCCGGCCTGTCGGCAGGGAGGTCAGTGCCCTGCATCGTTGTCACCCGTGACATCTCGGGGGCTTGCCAGCGAGGGGACCGCCACGGCTCCGAGCCCCACCGCGGCATCATCCCCTTCCCCGTTTGGGAAATGCAGAAGGCGTGGGGTACCCCCAGGAGGTACTCGGGGGCTCTGCTCCCCCCCCCCCCCCCCCCGAGCGGCACCCTGGGAGTGAGTGCTCAGGCCAGGGGTGGGCGACCCGGGATGGGTCCCGGCCTTGCTTGGCCACGTGCGTGGCAGTTGCCTTAACTCGTGGGTCCAGACTAGGAAGTTTTTCGGAGCTGTCGCGCTGCAGGTCGGTCCTGTGGGGTGGGGTGCGCCTGTGCCCGGGATGACACCCCGACCCCACGCTGCTGGCCAGGCGTGTTACCCTGCCCCCCCACCTGAGTCACACCCCTGGTCAGAAGTGACAGGTTTTGAAATGGGATGGAAAGCAGCTGCCTTGGAAGGATTTTGCCCAAGGAATTGTTTTAAAAGGAGGATAGTGGGGTGTGTGTGTGGGGGGGGGGGGTGGGGAGTCTCTGGGATACTTTAGAATATTTGGAAATATTAAGCAAGTGAGTTTTCTTTGAGGTTTAGACACACATCGAGAAATATACCTGGGGGGGAGGGGGGCGTGTGTTAACGCCTGATGTCCTTCACCTGATCATCGAGGAATTCCTTTTCCTTATTTCTCCGCTTGCATACAGCTTTTCTTTCCTTTGGTTCTGGGGAGCTACATTTTCTGCCCACGGACGTTCCTTAAGGGCTCGTCTGACTTGGATGTTCTTGAGAACATTTTAGATGTGTCACATGCATGTAGAGTTGGTAGGGATTGAGGGACCCTATGTAGTGCTCGAGATCGAACAGGGATCCGCTGCATGCGAGCACCTTACAAGCACGGTACTTGTATCTCTGGCCCCGTATTTTGTACTGAATTTGTTATTTCATAAACCTTTCAGATTAGTTTTCCAATTTTATACTGAAAGGATTTCCCTTTGAAAAAAAAATACTTGCCAAAAATGCTGATTTCCTTCAAGCTTATCTCCATATTTTTCCTATTGAGTTTTCATAACTGTCCTCTCCGTAGTTTTCAAATGAAGAAACTGATAGTGCTGAAAGTACCTTCTGTGCAGGGATCAAACTCAAGGCTCCTGCTTGTAAAGTTCTGTTCTCCAGTTCCTCCAGCCATCTTCCTGACCGAAGTATTTTGAGTTTGAAATACTGTTACTAGTGAATTGTACCTATGACCTGTAGTGTTCAGACTTCTTCGTCAAAGCCCTGAACAAACGGTTTGAGGCTCTTCGTGTTCCCGGATCCAGCAGATGCCCCTGGGCTACACTAGCAGGAGACAGGGACAAATGGAGACGTTACCGGATGACAAGTGACAAGTGATACAAGTGGACTGTAGTGTATCATAGGACTGCCCGAAAATTTTGAAAACTAGGAATTGCAGGTTCAGGTGTGTGTGTAGGGGGGTGACTCTACTTGGAAAGGTAGTTATGAGTTAATAACCAGGCAGTACTATAACAGATGTTCTTTCTCCCTTTTGTGCCTTTGACTGATTTTTGAAATGATCATTCCACATTATGTCTTTGCCACACATCAGAATTTCATTCTCATGATTCTGCATTGTAGTTATCCATATATCTATTCTGTTGGTCTCCACTCTGGCAGATTGCCTTACCCCTTTTGGGAAGGTTATTACTGTTCCTTTTACCTTCCCCCCTTCTGAAGGGTCCGTGCGGTGTGCTGTTTTCAAAGGCTGACTTAGACCATTCCCCATTTGCCCCTGCTGACTACATCTTTAGCATTTATTACTCAAGTGATATCTTACAGATTATAGTAGACCCCATCTGCTTAGGTTGAATCTATTTCCTTTTAATCTATGTCTTAGACGCATGTTAAATGTCTATTTTACCAGTTTAAATTGCCTTAGCTTTCCTTGGTCATTGTTGTGAAACTTTGAACTCAGGTTTGTTTTTTTTAAAACCACTGCTAGGATTTTATGATTTTAAGTTCTTGGGTTTTACTCATTTTTCTGTCGTTTGCTTTTTGATCCACACCTGGTGGTGCTCAGGGCTTTTTCCTGTCTCTTACTCTTGGCTCTGTGCTCAGGGATCACTCCTGGCAGTGCTCAGGGGAACCGTATGTGGTCCTGGGGTTGAAGCCCAGGTTAACCATGTGCAAAGCAAGCGCTTTACCCTCTGTACTCTCTCTCCAGCTCCTCTGTTCATTTTTGGTTCCCTGAAGAATTGTATAACTTTAAAGATGGAAGTAGATTTATACTCTTGACTACAAGGTTTGCAACTTTGTAACTACAACTTTCTTATTTCTTGGCCAGTATAGCAATTTTTGTTTTGTTTCTTGAACTATACCCAGCAGTGCTCAGGTGTTACTCTTAGCTCTGTACTTGGAGTGGGGGTCGCTCTTGGTGGTGCTTGGGGGACCATGTGATGCCAGGGATCAAATGCTAGCCTTCTGCATGCGAAGCATGTATTCACGTATTCAACCCATTGAGTCATCTCTTTGGCTCTTTATTTTCATTTTTTCTATCCTTTTAGATAACTAGGTTAATTATTTAGGAATGCAAAGCTATGTCTTTGCTGAATTGACCATAATTTTGTGTGTAGGACAAGAGGGGAGAGCTTTGAGAATATTTTCTTAGATTTAACTGTGTAAAAAATATTTTTCAAAGTATTGCATATTCCCTGCCCTAGATAAGAAACACACTTTTACACTTTCTTGTTAACTATAGGATTTCATTGAACTTGGACTTTAAAGGTTTTTTTGTTTGTTTTTTGTATTGGGGGCCACACCTGGCTGTGCTTTAGTGTTACTCCTGGCTTTACACTCAGAAATTACTCTGGTGGTGTTCAGGCGACCATCTGAGATGCCAGAGATTGAACCTGGGTTGGCTGTGTGAAAGGCAAGAGATGTGCCTGCTGTATTATCTCTAGCCCCAGATTTTATACTTTTTTTTTTTTTGGTTTGTTTTGGCTTTTTGGGTTGCACCCAGCGATGTTCAGGAGTTACTCCTGGCTTTGCACTCAAAAATTACTCCTGGCGGTGCTTGGGGACCATATGGAATGCCGAGGATGGAACCTGGGCTGCCCACATGCTGTACTATCGCTCCAGCCCCAGACTTTATATTTCTAATAGAAAATATTGTGGAGCTTATTTTCCTGAGTTGGGCCCAGAGAAGAGTGGGGTCTTTTTAATTACAAAAATTTTTAAAGTTCTCTCTTTTCCTTCTGTCCTTAAAAAAGTTTAGCGCAGTGGATAGTTTGAAAATTACCGTTAGGAGCTATTTATGGCTTTATTTTTTACAAAATAAAAGGAAATGACTTTCTTAAACTTTTTGCTGTTAGTAGAATTGTCAACTTGAATTTTTATTGCTTTTTGACTAATAACTTGACACTAGCTTCTGAGAAAGCACTTGAAGTTACTATACTTCTGTCCACTCCATTTCACTTTGAAGAACAGTCATGAGTTATAAGGTATTTCCTCAATACAACATTAAAAGAAAGTTGTCATTTTCCAGCTGAGAGCACACCTCCAGCTCTTCGCCTTTGATATTTTACCAGGGGTCCTACCAGACTTTGTCTGGATACATATCATATTGTTATGTTGTTGGTTTTCACTTTTCTGTCAAATATGTCTATAAAGTACATGTCAAGCCCCTGCAGGGTGATTTTTGAATAATAAACCTAAAGTATTGCTTGTTAACCTCATCCCGACACTTAGAAGTTAAGAAATAAATGAGGTGCTGTGAGAGATTGGCTGGTTCACTGGAGTAGGGACTCTGGTCTCTCAGCTGACTAGATGATTCTGTTACATAGATTTTGGGCCACACTTGGTGGGACTCAGAGCTTACTCTTGGCTCTGGTCCTGGGTCAGTTCTGGTGGTACTTGGAGACCATATGCAGTGCTCTGGGGATTGAATGGGGTTTTCCACATGCAAGGCCCTAACCCTTCTGCTATACCCTCTCTCTCCAGCAGTTGTACTATTTTAAGTAGACTTGGGGTTCATTTTCTGTAAAAAAATGATAAAAATATATGTCCTAAGAGATTGCTAAGTAATTTACTTTAAATATATATATTTATTTATTTTTGCAGTGTTAAACGGACCTGATTGTAGTCTGCTCAAACCTCCTGCTGTGAACCAGCAGAACTTTTGAACAGGTGAGTGTTGGGGGGGGGGCATGTTGTGCAAAGTCAGGGCTTATGCGAACGGGTAGTTTGGCAGGGAGTGTGGTTGGGCCACACGGGACAGTGCTCAGGGCTTATTCCTGGTTCAGTGCTCAGGGATCACTGGGTCACTCCTGGTGGTGCTGGGGTACCATATAGGGTGCTGGGTATCAAACTAAGGGTAACTTTATGGAAGGCAAGTGCCTTAGTGTACTATCTCTGTCCCCAAATCAGGTGATCTTTACTTTTAAGATTGCAATTTTTTTTTTCTCCTCCTTGTCGTTATTTCTTCTAAGGTTATAGATAGCGAATATAAATGACTTTGGTACTTTTCAGATTCTTTATGAACCATGAGAGTTAGCATACACTTTTTTGCATTGATATTAGTGGGAGTTTGTGTCTTAAACTTGTCTTTTTTTTTTGCATGAGACAGGGAGGAGCAGTACTTAGGGGGCAGGAGTAAAGATAAGGAACTTTTTTGGGGGTGGGAATGCGTCCACTTGGTGGTGTTCAGGGCTTACTCCTAGCTCAGTGCTCTCAGGGATCACTCCTGATATAGCCCAGGGGACCATATAGGATGTCAGGGAGCAACTCCAATTCAGCTGTGTGCAAGACAGCATTGCTGGCCCCAGAAGGAACTTCATTTTGTCTTGTTTTTGGGCAGTTTGTGGCTCAGTGGTTGAGGGTCACTTACTTGAGGACCGTTTGGTGCTGGGGATTGAATCCAACTTTCCAGCACGCAGGGTATGCTTCAGCCCAGAGAGTTCTCTCTGGCTCAGAAGGAGTCTTTGAAGGCTTTTCTTTTAGTTCAATGTATGTATAACCTTGTATAAGTTTGAAGCTCTCCAGTAGGTTAATTTGACACATGGATTATTTGTCCTTTGAAGCAATGTGATTAGCCCTCTCTGACTTTCCATAGTTAAGGAGATACCTGAAGAATCAGAAGAGCGGTTGGCTTCTGCAGGACCTGAACCAGGAACTGGGAAGCATTCAGGAGTCAGGATAGCCCAGATGGAGAGCACGTTCCTTCCTGCTGGCAGAGGGCATCCTCTTGTGTCTCTTTTTCTAGTTCAGTTGTCTTCCCAGCAGAGTGGCCTTTTCTCCTCTATGAAATACAGAAAATTGCCACTTCATTCCTGGAGTCACATCTGAAATCACTCTCTCGAGCTGTTTCTTAGCTCAGTGTCAACGCAGTTACACTCCTCGTAGGGACAATTTGATAGAACTCCTTGTCCAGTTTTCCATCATTGGTCAAAGTAGCATTACCGTGAGATTGGGGTCTGGAACTGTAAACAGCTTAAAGGGCCTCACCCGAAGGGCTGGGACAGTCTCCTCTGAAGTTGGGCAGCTACTGTAGTTAGAATTTAGGTTTTCTTGGAATATTTTTCTGTATCAGACGAGATCGGGTGCATTCAGGGTGGTATGGCTGTATATGGGGCTGGAGTGATAGCGCAGCGGTAGGGCGTTTGCCTTGCACGCAGCCAACATGGCCGACCCGAGTTCGATTCCTCCGCCCCTCTCGGAGAGCCCGGAAGCTACCGAGAGTATCTCGCCCGCTCGGCAGAGCCTGGCAAGCCACCCGTGACGTATTCGATATGCCAAACACAGTAACAACAAAGTCTCCAATGGAGACGTTACTGGGTCCGCTCGAGCAAATCGATGAACAACGGGAGGACCGAGGACCGTCTGGACCGTCATTTTTCTGTATGTAACTTGGCAGTTCTAGTTCTTAAATCCTGGAACATTAAAACAAGCACGTAGCCTTTAGTGAAGGAGGACTTGTAGGCCTTACCCAGCGGCCTTGCATCTTCCTAGAACCGTAGCACTGGAGCACTGTCCTCCCATTGTTCATCGATTTGCTCGGGTGGGCACCAATAATTTCTCCATTGTGAGACTTGTTACTGTTTTTGACACATCGATTGCACCACGGGGAGCTTGCCAGGCTCTGCCATGCCCTAGTAAAGTATTTTGCAAAATTGTTTTCTGATTATGTCAGTGATTGAGCCCAGGTCTCATACGTGCTTGGCATGAACCTACTGCTGAGAGACAGGCCTGGCCTCCCATTTTGTAAATTCTAATTTTGGGTGAATTTTGGGCCACACCCAGTGGTACTAGAGGGTTACTCCTGGCTCTGCACTCAGGAATTACTGCTGGTGGTGCTCAGGGGACCATATTGGATACTGGGGATCGAACCTGGGTTTTCTGTGTGCAAGGTAGATGCCCAACCCGCTGTACTATTGCTTGCCCCAAAATTCTAATTTTTTTTTTTTTGGGTCACACCTGGCGATGCTCACGGGTTACTCCTGGCTCATGCACTCAGGAATTACTCCTGCGGTGCTCGGGGGACCACATGGGATGCTGGGAATCGAACCCAGGTCGGCCATGTTGGCTGCGTGCAAGGCAAGCGCCCTACCCGCTGTGCTATCGCTCCAGCCCCCAAAATTCTGATTTTTTAATTCTAGTTTCTGGTTGCTTTTTTTAATATTAAGTAGCTTATGAATTTTGGGGAGCCATATCAGATTTGGAGAGTGGGTTTCAATTATGTGACTGTTTTATACCTAATAGGTGGATTGCTGTTGAAACCTTGATTGTTGGGCGAAGATCAGTGAGGCCACGTAAATTTATTAATATTCTGGGAGTGGGAGAGAGAATACAGGAAGGATGAGAAGCTGAAGTTGTGCACCCAGCCTGGAATGTGGGAGGCCCCAGAGTGGAGCCATAGACTGTAGACAGTACAGGGGATTACAGTACTTGGTTTGCCTGTGGCTGACATCGGTTTGACACCAGGTGCTATGTATGATCCTTCAAGTATTGGCAGGAGTGATCCCTGACCACTGCCAGGTGTTGCCCCAGAGCCAAAACAAAAATACATTTGCCTTGCATGCAACTGACCTAGGGCTACCCCTGTAGGTGGTGCTTGGAGGGCTGTGGGGTATCAGGGATTGATTTTAGGGTTTTGTGTGTGCATACTAGGTGTGCATACCCGACCCTGACCCCTTTATCGGTATTTTCTTTGATATATTTTTATTTCTATATTTTAATTTTTGGGGGGAGTGTGGGTAGGCCACACCCGGTTGAGCTCAAGGGTTTGCTCCTGGTTCTGTGTTCAGGAATTACTCCTTGAGGGACTCCAGGGACCACATGCAAACACTTTACCTATTTGTGCTATCTCTCTGGCCTCCTGTATTGGCATTTTTACAGTTGATAATTGTAATCATGCCATGATACAAATCCAGGGGCTCCCTTGATTAGTTCTTTAGGAGTGAGATGATATTGCCAAAACTTATGTCCAGTTGAGTAACTTAGAGGTGCAGTTTCACCAAAAAGGTTAGTGATGGGAGAGCGAGCCTTGATTGATGTTTGTGAAACTGACACTTATAAAAGACTATAGAAGTATTGCCTTTTCTGTTTCACCATGGTCAGTATAGTTTCCGACAGAATATTAGGTTACTGCCCTTTTCCCTAACTAAAGGTAGTACAGTATTGCTTGAATCTAGTGATGCAAAATACAGAAATCGGTTGAGAATGGAGCAGGATGGAGATTGGTAAAAGGAGGAAAATTATCTTACAAAATAAATTCCTCTGAAAATTTCAAGAAAAACAGTATTGAGCAGATTACAGATAGGTGGTGGAGAGCTTGCAGACACATGCGGGTTGTTTAATTTGGTCACTACTTAGAACTTCAGATAAGTAAATCAAGCTCATGAGGTTGTGGAGATCGGTCAGCACTTGGACTTGTCTTGCTTGCACCGGAACCCACCCGGGTTGGAACTCCAGCCCCTCCCGGCTTCGCCCCTCCCTGCCAAATGTAATTAACTTCATGAAGCCTTCTCCTTCCGCCCACCCCACCTAGCTGTGGAGTGTATCCTGTAGTGACTGTGGGAATTAAGACCATAATGTGGGGCTGGAGCCATAGTACAGCAGGTTGAGTGCTTGGTCTTGCATCTACCAAACCCAACTTTGACGCATCCTGCATGATCCCTGAGTGCAGAGACAGGAATAAGCCCTAGGTGTGGCCCCAAAACAATGCAAATTTAAAACAGTACAAATCTAAAATATCCAATATAATGTCTGACAGACACATAGTATATAACTATTTGATGAATAGTAGTTTTTTAGATTGTATTACAGTGTAAACTAGTGAGTTTTTGATTGTAAAATTGCATCTTTATCATTTGAGTAGACTTTAGTAGTTTTGGGTTTTTGTTGTTGTTATTGTTGGTTTTGTTTTTTCTGGGGGGAGTGCTTAGTGCTTACTCCTGGCTCCGCACTCCTGGGTACCTGGTTACCATATGGGGTGTCGGGCCTTGATCCTAACTCAGCTGCATGCAAGGGAAGTGCCTTATCCCCTGAACTGTCTCTTTGACCCTCAGAGTTTTTTGTTCAGTACCACAAATACTTAGGTGCTTTTTGCTTGAGGGTAGTTTAGCCTTAGCTGTGAGCAAATTGCTCTAATCTTCCTGGGCAAATGGGAGAAGCAAATGTGAGTAAAAGATAAAACATGAGAGGTCTTTATTTTTATAATTTTTACTTTTTGGGACCATACCCAGCAGTGCTCAGGAGTCACTCCTGGCGGTCACTGAGCTATTACTCCTAATGGTGCGTGGGGGGCCATATGGGATGCCAGGGATAGAAGCTGGGTCGGCCTGGTTCTCCTGGGTACTGTCATTCCAGCCCTCTTTCATTTGCTTTTTTTATTTGTTGTTCTCAACTTTTTTTTGCTTACTTGTTTTTGATCACACCTGGCATTGCTCTGGAATCACTCCTGGCGGTGCTCAGGGGACTACATGGGATGCTGGGGATTGAACCTGGGTGGGCCGTGTGCGAGGCAAACACTGTGCATGCTGGGCTGTGGATCCAGCTCCATCCAGCGTTCTCAGCTTTTTGATCTTCGGGTTTCTTCTTTGTTCTCCTGTGCTCAGGGATCACTCCTTTGGCAGGGTTTGGGCAACCATATTTGGTGCTGCAGATGCATCCCAGGTGGGCCAGGTGCA